TTCGTGTACCGGCTTATCTTTTCCATTAGGCACCGCACGTTCGGTCGGTTGCACAATCGACGGTGAGACTCCACAGGCAATCATCGAGAAGATTAATTCTGGCGAGATTGTCGTTACTAATTAAGTCAATAAATCCTTTTGGTTATCGGCGGTCTCTTCCCGCCAAGGTCCACTCAGCCTTCCATCCCACCATGGGTCGGTAAAATGAGTAGCACTCTGTGCGCCCATATCAATTATTCAGTCATACTTAGTTCATCATTTTGCTATACCCTAAGGGACAAAGGCGTTTATGTCCTAGTTAATTTTGTGGTCTTCACGCGTTTTAGGGTTAGGTTCATTTTTGTAATCAGAGTGGAGACAACTCTGTTCTGAACCCCACTGTTTACAAAGTAATTGCATAACAGCTTATACTGAATGCAGAAGACAGGAGTAAGTTTTAGGTTTTTCCTATCATCAAAGGTTTTAATGGCACCCAATATGTGCTTTAACGGTGAACCTTATTATAATGTTGTGGTGACTATTTGAGGACGCACTGAAATTATTTCATTCGGTTTGTATAAATATCACGATCTCATACTAAACGAATCTTCAGAAGAATTTTCTACTCGTATGCTCCCTCACTTAGTTTGTGATATTCATTAGTTCGACCGTTTTCTACCTTAAGGCTTATGTATTAGCTTGCACTACTTCATTACGCTCAATAAAAATTCTCAGACTCCTTTTGTGCTTGTTGCTTTTACGACTCTGGTAGCAATATGTCGGTAGAATGAGACATTACACGTAAGGAGAAGATGTCGAGTGTTTGTCATACGCGTTGGGCTTAATAGTCGTATTGTTTCATATGTTAACTATGCTACAGATGAAAGCATTAGTTGGTGGTCCGATTTCACGTAGGTGTGTGTCGTAGCCTTTTTTGGATCAATAGTCCCCTCCGGAGTCCGAAATTATTGAAGTTGGAGGACGGCGAAAAGCCGAGACCTCGACCGGCTTGAGGCAAAGGTCCGCGGGGGCGAGTTGGATGCCTGGCCGGGAACTGCAGTCCAAAAGATGCTGGAAGTCATCCGGAGAGATGCCGCAGTCAGGACAGCTGTCGGATGTTGACGGTTCGAGCCGGTGTTGGTACTGGTGGAAGAGCATTGAGTAGCCACCGGGACTGCGAGGAAAAAAAAGCCTCTGCATGAAGATAATCGATCAGCGACTTGCGGGGCTTGGGGAGAATGCCGCGAAAAGAGGGCAC